TTCACCTTCCTTCAGGGCCCAGGTCAGTTGAATTCACCAGTGAAGGCTTTCCTCGGTCACTCCATTCCTTAGTGATTTGCTCTTTTGCTGAATGCTTATACAGTTTGTATATTCCATTTGAGATGTAATTTATCCAGTGTTATTCCTTTTTTTTACAAATATATGTTGAGCTCTCTCAACTGGATTTTAATACCCTTAGGAGCAAAAGCTATGTCTGATATACTTCTTTATTTACACAAAACCTAGCAGAGTAGACTTTTCATAAATGTACATTAGTCCTACATTGATTGGCTTAGCCCTATTAAAGTGCTTCTTGTTGATTTGGTGTCACATTCCAATACACAAAAATAATGTTAAATATTGATTTTTTAATCTTTCATAATAACTATCTTTTCAAGCTCTATGCTATCAGAAAAATTGAAACGCATGCCTTGTATGACTATATTCAATCCTAAAAAACACATTGAAAAGGACAGGTCAAAGGAAAAGTACCGTGACATTCTACAAGACACCTGAGCGCTGACAAGAGTTATACCCAACCTTTTAGGTGTAGTTCTTCTACAGACCCAAACAACTAAGATAGGAGCATAGTCAGTAGAATACTGAGGGAAAATGAGCAAATGCTTTACTGAAAATGAGATCATCTAAGTCTATGATATTTACCTTCCCTGAAAGAGTAAAATAAGGTTTTCGTGACAGTTTCTTGGTTACCCAACTGTTGTTACAACTGACTATCACATTCTTATTTAAATGTTTGCAAATCATCTTCTTAAAGATCTGAGCTTAATTTCTTTTAAAATCTTCAGAAATGTTTTTACTTACTATAGTCTTCTAGGATCTGTTTCTCTAAAATTTCTCAAAGATGATGTCTCAGAGAGCACGTCTGCAGGTTTCTCCATACTTGAAACAGTCTCCACGAGAGCCTACAGAAGGCACACAGCCTTGCCAACACCTAGATTTTAGCTCAGGGAGACCCATTCTGGAATTCTGACCTCCAAAACTATAAAATAATAAATCTGTGTTGTCTTAAGCCACCAAGTTCATGGTAATTTTTACAGCAGCAATAGGCAACTAATACAGTCCCTGATTCAAAAAATCTTGGCTTAAAATCAAGCTCCTGTCTTTCTGCCAAGGTCTTACGTTTATCTCCAGATTCTCGGTCTAGATTAAATTGATTCCATTAGCAGGCTGTCCTTTAACATATTCCTGAACCCTCATGCCAAGGTCTAATTTATTCATCCAAGACTCACATTTACATCCTGTTTCTTGACCTACTCCCTGATTCTAACTCATATTTTTACTCCTGTATTTTTGCTTCTCAGCTCCTAATTCTACTAGGGTCTCCTCCCCAGGCCTGGTCTGCTATAAGCTTAAACCTCTAATTGTCTACTTGGCCTTGTTATGGGATTCTCAGTTTCTTTACTTCCCCTAAATCCATAACCACTGCCCTAATGTTTACAAATTACTTAATATCAAATCAGTAGATTTTCTTAAGTTAAGAATGGAAAATCAATAACATTAACCATAAAGTTTTAAACATGCTATAAACACAAACTGTCTTTCTGCTTGAAATAAATTTAAATTTCTATACCTAGATAAACCACAACTCAAGTATCAGCTGAGCCACTGAATAAGATTTTGAAAATCCTTAGGTAATAAAAGGTGCCATAAAACTGGATTAAATTTAAGTTCAGCTTTAATATTAAAAGAGAAAATGAGGTAGAAAGGCAAATCCTAAAAATTAAAGAACAGTTAGTTTGATAGTGATTCCTGTTTTCAAATGAGCCTATCGGCACTAAAGACAACACAGGTTCACCAGAAGTCATACCAAATTAACCTAACACCCTTTTTTAAGAGGACAATTAAGTCGATTATTTAATAAGGGAATCTTGGGGACAGAGGATAAACTAAGTTCAACAAAGTTGTTTTTACTAGCCATGTGAACAGAATAAAGTTTCAAAATAATTAATAGTGTAAAACCTTGAACTATGTACTGTTAGTGGGAATGTAAAATGGTGCACTCATTAAAGAAAACAGTATCGGTGGTTCCTCAAAAAATTAAAAATAGAATTAGCATATGATCTAGCAATCTTACTTTTAGGTATATATCCAAAAGAACTCAAAGCAGGATCTTGAAGAGGCATTTGCACACCTATATTCGTTGCAGCCTTATTCACGGTAGTCAGGAGGTAGAAGCAAGTCAATGTTCACTAATGGATAAATGAATAAATAAAATGTGCTGTATACATACAATGGAATACTATGCAGTCTTAAAAAGGAAGGAAATCATGTCACATGCTACAACATGGATGAACCTCAAAAAGACATTATGCTAAGTGAAATAAGCCAGTCACAAAAAGACAAATACTACATGATTCTACTCACATGAAGAAGTATCTAAAGGACTCAAAATCACAGAAAAAGAAAGTAAAAAAATGATTGCCAAGGGCTGTAGGGAGGCAGTATTAGTGTTTCATGGGTATAGCGTTTCAGTTTTGCAAGATGAAAAAGTTCTAGAGATCTGGTGCACAACAATATGAATATACTTAACACTATTGAACTATACACTTAAAAATAGTAAAGATGGCAAATTTAGTGTTATGTGTCTTTTACTGCAATATAAATAAATTTATTTAAAAAACCCTTTAAGTGAACAAACAAGATGATTTGTAACAAGAATAAATTTTATTTATGCTGACTAATCAGGTATAAGACCTTCGAAATGATATCCTTTTTGAAAAAGCTGAAAAATAAAAGGGGGAGCGTATTTAGCCTAAGAAGGAAGAGTAAGTGAAACCTAAAAAAATTAGCACAGGAAAGGGCACCTAAACTTACTCTGTGTCTAACTAGAGTTTATTAATTCATTCATTCTACAAATGTTTATGGAATGCCAATGATGTGGCAGGCACTGTTCCAGGTGTTTGAGATATACTGGTAAACAAAACAAAGATCTCTGCCCTCATGAAATTTTACATTCCAATTACAATAAACATAATAAATAAGAGTGGTAGGCTCCCTTTAAGTGGCTCCCAATGGTCCCTGGTATTCATATTCTATGTAATTCCTGTGTGTGTGCATGTGGAAGGCTGGACCTAATGAATAGAATATAGCAAAAGTGATGAGATGTCACTTTCAAGATTAGGTTATAAAAGGCTATGACTTCTATCTTGCTCACTCACTCTCTCTCTCTTGTGCTCCCCTGCTTGGTTGCTCTAGTGAAGCCACCTGCCACTTAGGAGCCGCCCTGAAGGGAGGCAAGGAGCTAAAGGCAGCCTCTAGGCAACAGCCAGCACTGAACTCAGGCCCTCAGTTCAACAGCCCACAAGGAACTGAATCGTGCCAACAACCACATGAATGAATTTATAACAAATCCCTCCCCAGTTGAGCCTTAAGATGACTACTGCCCTGGCCAGCCTGTGAGAGAACTCAGAAGCAGAGGGTCTATACAGATTCCTGACAATCAAAGGCTACGATAATAAATGTTTTAAACCACTAAGTGTTGGAATGATTATTTTACATAGCAACATGTAATTAATCCATTAATTACACAGTATGTTAAAAGGAGATGCCAAAAAAAATATGGAGCAAAGTAAAGGTTGGGGGGAGGGTGCAGGTGCAAGTCACAATTTTAAAAAGGGGTATTACAAAGACTTACACAGGAATATTTAGAGCAGCATTATTCATAACAGTCAGAAAGTTAAAACAGTCCAAATGTCCATCAATTGGTAAATGGGTAAACAAAAAATGTGGTATGTCTGTCCACTGGAATATTATTCAGCCATAAAGAGAAATGAAGTACTGATACATGCCACAACATGGATGAACTTCAAAAATATTATGCTAGGTGAAAGAAGTCAGTCACAAAAGACCAGACACTGCATGATTTCATTATAAGACATGTTCAGAAAAGAAAATCTATAGAGACAGAAAGTAGTTTAGTGGTTTTCTGAGGCTGGAGGTGGAAACAGGATTAATTATAAGTAGACATGAGGGACCTTATCGGGGTGATAGAACCATTCTAAAACTGGACCATGGTAGTTGGTGGTTGCTCAAATCAGCAAATTTACTGAAAGTCATGGAATTGTACACTTAAAACAGGTGAATTTATGGTATGTAAATCATACTTCAAAAAAGCTGCTTAAAAAATTGGGGGTGCTAACCGGGCACCATTGAGAACGTAACATTAGCAGAAATGTGAAGGAAGAAGGGTATTAGCCATGTCCCTATCTGGAGGAAACATGCCAGAAAACAGAGAGCTTATGCAAAGACCCCAGGGCAGGAGATTACCTGGGATGTCTGCAGCACAGTAAGGGTGCCAGTGTGGCTGGAGCTCAATTTCCAAGCAGAAGGTAGGAAATGAACAGAGAGAAGTAATGATGCATAGGAGATGGTGGTGATGGGAATCACACAGACTTTTTTACACCACTAGAAGGACTTTGGATTTTACCATGAGACAAAAAAGACAGGTACAAGAAGGTTCTGGGCAGAGGAGTGATATGATCTGATTTGCATTTTAAAAGGATCAGACAATGTAAAGAAATTATAAAAACAAAATGTAAAAGACACCATACAAGCTAGCTGCCTCCAGAGTTACTGACCTCTCTTATCTGACTGGGACATTGGAGAAGTCCCCCATTAAAAGTAAGGGGAAACTTGTTAGTGTCTCAATATGTGGCCTCCAAGTCATCTGCATCAAAACCTACATGGAGGCTTGTAACACACGCAGGTCCTCAGGCTCCAGCCCTGACTTCTGAATATCTGGGGCTAGGGATGAGACTCTGAATTTTACAAACTTTTGAGGTGACATCTTTGAGAAACACAATGAACCAGATAAACACAAAGGTCCCTTCAAACTCTAAATTATGAGAAAGTATACAGACTACCTAAACCATGTTTATCTAAAGGAATGCATAGGATTTACTATAAATGGACATCTGAATTGATTATTTTATTTTATTACAGATGAAGCGACCTTTTTTCCCATTCTCGAAAATCCTTACCCAGTTGTTTTTTTTCCCAGCATAAATTTCCATGTTCTCTCCATATTGTGGCTCTTCCAGTAATGTCTGGTATTCAAACATGAGGCGGGAGCTCTCACGGAGGCGGCTACATTGAAATTGATGATACTGTTGCACAAGTTCCTTCACCACAAGTAAGAGACATTCAGGATTTGAAGGATTCCAGGAGGCGAGATTCTGTAGAAGCCATAAATAAAAGACCACTTAAAAATGAATTTTCATTCAATCCAGTACCATATTCATACATCAATATACAGGAAAAGAATAATAAAAATCTAAGAGGAACAGACTACTCTTAATTAGTGATAAACCCAAAGATGAAGTTAGAAGGGTCTTCTGATATTGATGGTTTCTCCTGCCCTATCAGAAAAATCAAGGAGGAATTCTGCCATTAACAGGCAGAAACAGTAAAGTGTAAGGCAGGGTAGTAACAAAACAAGAGACCTAAATATCCTAGAAGACCATAATTATAGCCCTGGAAGACTTAATTTGTTTCTTATTCTCGTATAATTTTATTTTTTTTTCTGTCTCTACCTAAATTCGGCATTATATGCTAAAGTAACTCGACTCAGATCCACAGACCATCTGTATCTATAATACCAGATATAAATAAATGCTCTGTAAACATTAGAGCCTCACAAAAATATAAGCACAATGGTGATGGTTCAGTCTGAAAAAGACAGGAACAAAGTACAGACAAGGGAAAATGTCTGCCAAACACCCAGATCTGAATAACCACAGTTCAACCATCGGTCATTCTTTCAAGTAATAAAGAAAGGTTCCAAGAAAAAAGCAGCTAGTTCAGTTTGCAATTCAATCACACTAATGATTTTCCTTGAGGCACCATTAATACTTCGGTATGCAGAAGTCATCTCTGTGTATTTCTCATTTTGTCACACAGAATGCTGAAAAGATGTGTACTTAATGGTTGGGACTTAATACAATATAATTTTTTATTATTTCATCAAGGGTATTCTTAAGCGAACTGGCAATTTTTTTAAGTGAGAATGTGTGGCAATGAAGGATACAAGTACAGTTTGATGCCTGCCTTGGTAAATGCTAAAGCCTCAGTTTTATCCACCGCTGCTTCTGCAGTGTAAGTGCAAACATCAACACCATTAAAAAGGGAAATAATATCTTAATATGATTATGAAATAGTTTTGACTTTCCAGGCCCCTGAAAGGGCCTCGGGGAGCTACAGGGGTCTGCAGACCACACTTGGAGAACCATCAGCACTACTTTATATTGCTTTATGGACAAACCAAGCACAGCTTCTATCAAAAGAAAACAAAGAAAAGGTAAAGGAATACATTATTTAGAAGGACAGTAATGAATTTGCTCTACCGAGTAGTGTTATTTATAGGGAATAAATGACAATGGGGAAATCACTACTTGCTCTTTCATTTAAAGAAAAAAATATGTCTTAAGGGATGTTCAAATAAAGACTTGATGTGCAGAGGGAAAGGTAAGAGCTTCAGCAGCATATATTGAATAAAAGAGGTACGCTGATATGAAAGTGATTTGATAAGAAAAGTACAAAGTCCTCCCTGGCAAACCTTTTGACCTCAATAGCCTGAAATTCCCCTTGAGCTACTCCAGACCACATTCAAAGTATCAACAGGATATAACAACATAGCATATGACTTAATATGATCATTATATACCTTGTTATGCATTTGCTTTAGAGATCATCATTAAACATTTAGAAACAAGAAAAATGCACAATATCCCTTTCTAGTCCTTGCTCCAGTACTATACTAGAGAAAAAAAGAAAAGCTTTAGATGCCTCAATTTATATATACACACATACACACACACATACACATATATATACATACACTTTTTTTTTCTTAGAGATGGGGTCTCACTCTGTTGCCCAGGCTGAAGTACAGTGGTGCTATCATAGTGTACTATAGCCTCAAACAATCCTCCTGCCTTAGCCTCTCAAGTAGCTGGGATTATAGGCATGCACCACTGCACCCGGCTAAGTTTTCTTACTTTTTGTGAAGACAGGTCTCACTATGTTGCCCAGGCTGGTCTCAAACTGGGGCTTTCCAGAGTGCTAGGATTATAGGCATAAGCCACTGAACCTGGACTCAATATACATTTTTAAAATTCTATTATTTCTCTTTAGTTGTTAGTTAAGTACAAGCCTATATCCATACAACAAAAAAAAAATATGAAGACATATAAGTTGGCAAACATCTCGTACCAATTTGAACTCATTTCAAGTGATTTAACCTAATCATTAAATACATAATAAAGACATGACAACCAATCCCTTTCTGTTAAAATATAATTTCCTAATACATAGAAATATATTTGACCTCCTTGGCCATTCAAGGCATATTTTGCTGGAAAACATCCCCATCAAGGGAGGTTTAGATATACTAAACAAGATAAAAATTCCTTTACTATTGCTACACGACCACTTTTACTCGTTAGGTAATTTGTGGTTTGAACCACTTTGCCTAGAAGGGAAAAACACAGAAGATATACAAGGTTTTAGTCACTCCCTAAGACTAGGACATATTTTAAAAACAGGTCTAGCAAAATAAGACATTGTAGCTTTCTATTCTCTTGAGTAGGAGATAAAGGAAAATACCCAAAGTTCCTTCAGGGAAATAGGGGGAGGAGGCATAAATTAGCTGGCTTCTTTACAAATAAGGGAAAAATAAGTGTTTCTCTCTCTATTCATAAAGTTATTATTCTACTTATTTTTGGTAATGCATGAAGCAAGGAATCTGAAATCAGGATGGCCACAAAGAGAGAGTAGGCACAGGGCACATAATATATCAACAAAGAAAAGAGAAGAGAAGTAGGATTCCAAAAATTGGGAATGAAAACTGTATTAGGAGAAAGTGGTAAGATATAGTCAAAGAAAATAGACAAAAGAAAAAGAATTAACTACCATTTTATAATGGAAACTTTGTTCATTCTCGCTAAAACACCTGTGAAGCAGTTCAGGGAAGGTGTTATGCCAGTTCTTTTCAAAAACTGGTTAACTTGAGAGACTGAAGAACTTCAGTGATGCTCAAGCGTAGACAACAACTGAGACAGTGAAGAATGTAAATCTTTCAACCTTCCCTCCATTCAGTTCACTAAAATATCAGCTACTAACCAAAGAATTGGCAGGTGCCTCTTTGTGGTCATGAGACATCTCATGTGTAGAGGTAATTCCAGATTCTCTACCTTGGCTCCCCGTCCAGGCTGCCTGACATGAGGAATGCTCCCAGCTCATGTGATGCTCAACCTTCTTCTCACATTTCTCTCTCATAAATACATTCTGCCACGTACCTTATACTCCCAAATCATTGGCCCTGTAGACTTGAACAAGCCCAACCAATACTCAGCTCCTTATAGAAGCTTCCTTATGTCAGAAAGACAGTTAGGGATAATGTTTTCAGAGGCCTAGCTCACCCTCAATTTAGGTCTCACTTATGTAAAACCATAATTTTTTAGCCATACTGAAGCAAATTTAGACATGTACAAGGACATCAGTAAATGGAAAAAACTGGGAAACAATGTAGTAGGTGCATGTCTTTGGGGAGATAAAGGAGCAAAATAAGCAAATGAACAAATGAGACCTCGAATCATCACTGCCTAATAAGAGAGAGGGAAAAAAATCTTCTAAGAGATAAAAA